CTCTGTTACACAGCATCCATCAGCTTCATCATCAGCATCATTATCATTTAAGATGAAAGATGGCATATTATGATTATGCATGTTTTCAAAACTTGACCTGCATTTACTTTTAAATCATCATACAATTCACTCTTGTGCAAAGATGCACTGCAGCAAGAAACAGCTTCATTCAGAACATCTACTGAAACCGTGATAGGTCAGGATGCTCGCAGCGCACAGTACAAACACTGTGATTGGTTAGAGTTCCGTTTGCTTCTGAAATATTAATATTACAAAGACCAATATCACAAAAACAATTAACAAACATTACACTGTACAGTCCAACTCGCTATTCTCCTGCATTTACAGAAGAGAAAAAGGCTCCTAAATAGCTGCCCCCACTAGCCAGGCTCTAAAACCGTCCAGGAAAAGTGTCACAACAACTGCGGGTTTTGGAGGGAAAACTCTGCTGAAATCATTAAGTCAACAGCAAACACTGCAGGCAGTGGCCTGTTTGGTTTGGGTCGTCAGATTTGCTTGCTGTGCTTGTTGTTCCCCAGCATTGGCACAAACACATACCATACGATGGACACATATTCAAAATAAACTCAATTGTGATGTTTTCGGGTGTCATGAGAATGAATTGCTGGCGACGATGGCTATGCTCCACTGCTAGCCAAAGTTAGCTTGCAGGCTGCTAGCTGTCAAGGAAAGAATCAAGTGCAAGTGTCACCGTTTGAATTATTTATTTCCCATTTAGTCTCCTCTCCACTCTGGACTCGTGGCCGAGCGCCAGCCATGCAGCATCTCCCCTGCGCTCTTGTGTGTGCTCTGCTAGAATATACCGCATAGATATGGAAGAATACAGAGTAGAATGCTTAAAAAACTGGCTGTAGATACTGCAGTAATGGTGGGTGAACTTAAATATCAGGACTGCAAAGTTGTAAAGTTGAGCAAACTCACAAACTAGATTGTAATTTCTAATTAATGCTCTATGTTTACTGAGAGAAGTCAGCAACTGCCTATAAGTGTCTATTATAAGTGAGCTTTGAGTCAATTGGTGTTCGATTCTTCTCCGAGTACAGCAAAACACCTCGCAGTTATTTCCCACAGGAACCAACCGCACACTGCAGATGCCGAGACCAGGTTGGGAAAATGCAGAAATATTCCGTTCTGACTCACAGCTTGTTGAAACAAGTGGGGAATTTGTTTGGAAGTCTAATCCAGGGGTCGGCAACCTGCGGCTCTTTTACTGCCCTGTTGCAGCTCCACAGCAGAATCAGATTTGTAGGTAAAAACAAAATAATCCTCCTTCGCAGTAAAATAAAGCTCTGCTGGTCATTCTAACACAGTTCTAACAATAAATTGTCTTAAACGCTGGAGTTAATGTAGAACTGCTAATTCACCCTTTGAGAAGATCAGCACAGGCTCACCATAGCAATGCAATCTCACTTAGCTAGTAGCTAACGAAGCAGCAAAGAGAAAGATTTAAGATGAACATCGATAATTTGAGACAAATTGACTTATCTGCATTTATAATCACTCCTGCTGGTTTCCTGATATGTTTAATCTGCAATGAGAAACTGTCAAACACTAAAAAGTCACGAAACGAGAAGTGAGCTTCTTGTTTGAATTCTCCCGTTCCACCTTAAATGGGGCAGCAGTTACATTCTGGAGCCTCAGACACCATTTAAGGTGGAACAGAAAAATTCGAACAAGAATCTGGTGAATGAGAAGCTGATTTCAGCCTCGTAAAAAGTTGAACTTTGAGCGAGATTTTACAAGAAACTGTTCTACTTTTGCTGAAACGTTTCCTGCTGGAGATGCAAGTAAAGCAACTATAGCTGAGCTAAAGCTTAAAGCAGAGCAAAGTAAGTCTGCGTTTTTGTTTATATTTTATTTTTTAGTCTATAATAGTACATTAACACATACTGAGACATATTAACAGATGGTAAAATGGATATAAAATGTTGTGGCTCCCAAGATTTTTCTGAAAGGACAAAATGGCTCTTCTTAATATATGAGTTTCCGACCCATGGACTAAACTTTTAATCCATATCCATGTGTTCGTAAGTAGAAGAGGAGATATTTAGAGTTTAGAGTTGACTCAAACCTGTCCACACAGAATGTGAATGAAATATGAATGCAATTGATTGGGTTATCATGCACTTTGTATAAATAATATAAACTAAATGTGTGGCAACATGACAGTAATGACTCTGTACTTCTAATTCATGTTGCTTTCAAGTGAAACGGATGGAAGTGAAGATGCACTTTCTTAGGAAACTGTAGCTTCGCCCAAAGATTTGACTGCAGATATGCTGTAGATCACTCAGCACACAGAGAACAATCCACACACTCAAACATGTTTTTATACCTTGTCAAGACATAAATGGGAATTATAGTACTGGGTAAAAGTCACAGACCGCCTTCATTTATTTGATTTCCAGTCAAAACAGTCATTAAGTACCAGTTACTCAATTTTTAGGAGATATGTTCTGGAAAGATCATATACAAAATGATTCAAGTCTACAGGAAAATGTGCCTCCTAACAACCACCTGGAAGACCTGGCAGACAACAACACTGCCCCCATCAGATAAACAGCACTTAAAGCTTTCATCTTTGAGAGAGAGGAGAAAATCAAGCTGCTGCAGATCTGAAAACATCCACAGGTGTTTCTGTCCATCCTTCCACTGTGAGAAGACGACTCAGCGCTGTGGGTCTGAAAGGATGTGTAGCTGTTCAAGAAGAACCTCACTGAGAAAAGGAGACGGACACATCAAACAAAGAAGATGAACAATGGACTGACCACCCCAGAGTCCAGACCTCAACACCACTGAATGTGTTTGATTACTTCAGAAAATGATCAACCAGCTTCTAAGACTGAACTTTGGAGGCGTGTCTGCAGATTTACTGGAGGAACTGAAAGTGAGTCTCCTGAAAAGAATGGAAGCTGGAATGAAGGTGAAGAGACACACTGAACACTGAAAATGTGATATTATATTTAGTTGTTGATGTTCTGTGTAATTTTCTGTTAAATATATTTTCTGCTTTTTTCCTGAAGCTGAAAAAACAATAACATAATGGTACTTGATGGCAGTTATGACTGGAAATAATCTGCTTGATTCAAATGTGTAAATCAGTTTCACACCAATCAAATTAGACTCTGAGCACTCAGAGAAAGTTTTGTCTCTCCTGACAACCACAGAGTGAGATAACACAACACAGATACAGTCGCACACACTGGCAGCTGCTGTAAAGTTTGTAGCGGTGAGTGTCGCGGCCTGAGGGACAGTGAGTGACCAGAACTCTTCAGCTCCAAATCAGAAACCTGCAGAGCTGCTCACTCATTCTGGACTGACTCTTAGACTCTGAACAACTTTAGAGGTGAGTGAATGAGTGAACAGCCCTGTACTGAACATTCAGTGGTTTAGCTATTAGTACAAAGACTCAGAGAGAGAGAGAGAGAGAGAGAGAGGGGAAATGAAAACAGAGAGAATAAAAAAAAGACAGATAAAAATTATGAAAGAGCAAAGAGAGACGATTGAAAAGGAAGGGGAGGAAAGAAAGAAAGAGAAAGAAAGAAAGAAAGAAAGAAAGAAAGGACAAACAGTGAAAAGATGGAAAGATATAGAGAGAGAGAGAGAAATGAAAAGAGAGAGAGAGAGAAAGGGAGTGAGAGAGAGATAAAGAATGAAGAGAGAAGAAAATGTAGAGAAGAGAGACAAACGAGTGTAAAAAGGAGCAAAGAAAGAAAGAATGAAAGAAAGGGAGGGAGGGAGGAGAGACAGCAACAAAATAGAGGGAAAAGAAAAGGGAGAGAGAAGGAACAAAAATACAGAAAGAAAGAAAGGGAGTGAAAGGGAGTTTGCGATAAAGAAAGAAAGAGAGCAATACAGAAAGAAAGAGAGGAGAGAAACAGAAAAAAGGGCGAGAGAAAGAAAGAGAGAAAGAAAGAAAAAAGAAAGAAAGAAAGAACGAAAGGGGGACAAACAGTGACAAGATGAAAAAAGGGAAGAGAGAGAGAGGGGGGAATGAAAAGACAGAGGGAACAAAAAAGAGAAAGGGAGTGAGGGAGAGATAAATAATGAAGAGGAGAAAAAGGAGAGAAGAGAGACAGACGAGTGTAAAAGGGAGGAAAGAAAGCAAGAAAGGGAGGAGAGAGAGCAACAGTATAGAGGTACAGGAAAGGGAGATAGAAGGAATGAGAAAAAACAGAGAAAGAAAAAAGAATTAGAGAGAAAGAGGGGGAGACAAAGAGACATGATGAAGGGAAATGAAAAGAGGCAACAAAAAGAGAGAAAGGGGGTGTGAGATAAAGAATGAAAGAAAAGGGCAATACAGAGAGAAAGAGAGGAGAGAGACAGAAAAGAAAAGGGGAGAGAGAGATAAAGAAAAAGTGAAGGAGAGCGACAAGATAGAGGAAAAGGAAAGAGAGAGAAAGGAAGAGACAAAAAACAGAACGAAAAAGAGGGAGAGGAAGAAAAAAGAGAGAAAGTGCTAAGACACACAGAGAGAGAGAGAGAGCGAGAGAGAGAGAGAGAGAGAGAGAGAGAGAGAGAGAGAGAGGGAGAGAGATGGGGGATACAGCAAAGGAGAAAAAGAGAAATAGAGGGTGAACAAAAGAGAAAGAAGAAATGCAGAGAAAGAGAGAGAGAGAGAGAGAGAGGGACAGGGAGAGAGAGAGAGAGAGAGAGAGAGAGAGGCAGAGAGAGAGAGAGAGAGAGACGAGAGAGAGAGAGAGAGAGGGAGAGACAGGCAGAGAAAGAGAGATAGAGGGAGAGAGAGAGAGAGAGAGAGGAGAGAGAGAGAGAGGGAGAGAGAGAGAGAGAGAGAGACAGAGAGAGAGAGGGAGGGAGAGAGAGACCCATTCAGGGCTCTGGAGCCGGGCAAACCCCGTGCCGCGCGCTCGCAGCCCACTCAGCACCAGAAATCGCCAAAGCACGAGACGCAGCTCGAGGACCAGTGAAAAGAGCAAACACACACACACACACACACACACACACACACTCACACTTACCTCCGAGAAGCAGGAAGAGTGAATGCAGCGCGCACACGCGCAACATGTTTGCTCGAGCCCCGGAGAACAACTTGCGCGCGCGGGTGAGAGAGAGAGAGAGATGGAGAAATCAGAATGAGCGAGAGGGATAGAGAGAGAGACACACAGGGAGAGACAGGAGTGATGAAGCGCGAGCCTCACAGCAGCCAGTACATCCCGCGCTGCGTATCGCTGGGGGTCCCTGTGTGCGCGCGCCCAAAATAACTCCAGTGCACTTCTCTCTGTTCGGCTCAGCTGGTGACTCTGCAGTAACGCTGCTCTCGCTGCACGTGGCCCGCTCGCGTTATAACGTTTGTTTGTTTGTTTGGTGTTACGCCCCGCAGCTCGCGCTCCACACCGGTTTAGTCATGCACATCCACAGCGCGCGCATCCACCTGCAGAAGTCGAGAGCAAACCCACGCGCGCGCGATCAGTCCGGTCTGAGCGACAACAAGTGCATCCGAGCTACGGCTGCTGCTGCTGTTTATGGTATTTGTTGTTATTGTTGTTGATATTGTTTGTTGTTGTTGCTGCTTTGGAGATTTTCACGCTGGCGCGTGCTGCACTTTCCCTCTCTAGCTTGCACGGCACGTGCGTATCTCCAGAGCCGGGCTACACGCCTAACTTTGCTCCACTGATGCGAGAACAGCACTGATGCAAAACCCCTGCAAAAGCAGCTGGAGGGCGCACGGGGCTCCCGGCTGCACGGCGCGCGCTCCCGTACTTCAGCTCGTGCACCTCACCGGGAGGGAGCGAGCCCCCTCCCTAAACCTCCTCATGGCTCCACGCGGAGAAAATAAAAGAGACTGAGAAAAAAAAAATAAATGCAGTGCAACCTGCGCAATCCGTGGCTTCACGCGCGCAAACAAAATCCTGAACCCGCGTGCGTGCGTGCGTATGGGTGCACAGGTCGTTGTGTCGGTGTGTCAGTCCGGGTAGCTCGCGCTCCGCCCGCACACTGAGCGCCACCGTGGGAAAGTTGGCTGCAGATTCTCCTCCACCCGTATTCCGACAAACCACGCCCACCTGCGCTGGGATTGGCTAGTCAGTATCATCCTCCTGCGCTTGGATTGGCTGATAGTTTATCCTCACAAACAGCAGCTGATTGGACAGACCACGTCACCATAGCAACCAGAGACAACAATGGTACTTGAGAACCGTGAGGCTTTATTTATTTTTCACCCCTGTTTACAGATTAGCCACTCCCCCCGGGCCCCCTGCCGTGCATAAAATCCCACCCGTTTTCTGACAAGCCACGCCCACTAGATTGACTAGTACCATTATAGCATTAAAGAGACTTCTGCAGTCAGTAGCCGAGCATCCTGCGCTGGGATTGGCCAGTTCTCATAATAAGCTCGCTGACTGGTCAGTTTTGATGTCATTCACAACTAAACGTGAGAAGCTAGATGAGTTATTTTTTCCTACGTGTTACCTGCTATAAAAGCCCCGCCCCCTGTGCTAGGATTGGCCAGTAATTTATGAACCACTAGCAAATTCTTACGTTAAGGGCGGGGCTTGCCTGAATATGGGTGGGGAAAAAAAAACCCATCACCGTCGCTTTCACGCCTTAATGCAGTTAGAAACAAAAACGCCAATCACTGTGAAACTGCATATGAGCTTAATGAGCGAAAGTGGAATAAAAACATGCTTTAAAGCTCATTTTAATAACTTTTATTTTGTAAATGTAGGTGGAGGAAAGCAAAAGAAAAGACTGCCCTACTCTGTGTGGCTTCAGTGTGAAGTGTGAGGGCTGCATTTGTGGAAATAACTTGTTGGGTAGAGTTGATGGGCTCATAATGAAGCAACAACGACCCCCTGTGGATGTGTTATATTTTCAGAGCTCTCTTGTAGAAGAGAGAGAGGGGGGGGCGGTTAATCTACCAAGGTCTAATTCATCAGACTTCAGAGCACTGAGAGAAAACCCATCAGAAAAGGACCAAAAAAATCCAACCAGAAAAGATCTTCTCCTTTATCTTTCTCTTATGTCTAATTTTAAAGGATCTTTATCCTATTTTTCCTCCAAGATTCCCTACAAGACTTTCTCCTCTCTCTCAAAGATGAAAGCTTTAAGTGCTGTTTATCTGATGGGGGCAGTTTTGGTGTCTACCAGGTCTTCCAGGTGGTTGTTAGGGGGACCCATTTTCTCTGTAGCTTTCCATTGTTTGAACTCCAGTTTTGGAAACTGCTGTTTTTTCACTTATTGTCCTTTGACTTTTTCCTCCCTTGTGCGAGTGGATTATCTTCTATCTAATCTCCTCAGAAATATCTCCTGTATGAGCTGTTTGTAATGGTCATATTGACTGGACGTTAAATAAATGAAGGGTGCAGTACTTACACCTTTAGTGTAATTTCTGACATGACTTCTTTTGGGGGCTTCTCGCTGGTCACTCATTGGAACAAAGCTCTTCATAAGGAGGTACAAATCCATGTCATTCGCTGACACTCAGTTTAAATTAAGCCTTTAAGCAGCGGTGAAGCTAAGCATGGCTGTCTCTACATGAATTTGTCTGCCTCTATATTCTTAGAGATAAAGGTACTGAACTGTCACTGGGGTGGGACCCTCAAGGGTCCATCTCAGTACCTTCAGTCAGGGAACATAACTGAACCATAATCCACTGAAATGATATTTTCTATGTTGTATTGACTCCACATCCCCGTCTCGTGTTGCTAGATCATTGCTTTGTTAACCCAGGTGGTTGCTAAGGTGTTGAGAGCCAATGCTACATTATGCAGAGTGGTTGCAAAGGTGTTGTTAGGTCATTGTTATGTTATCCCAAGTGGTTGCTAAGGTGTTGCTAGGCCAATGCTATGTTATCCCAGGTGGTTGCCATGGTGCTGCCAGGTCACTGCTGTGTTATCCCAGGTGGTTGCTAAGGTGTTGCTAGGTCATTGCTACATTATCCCGGGCGGTTGCTAAGGTGTTGCTAGGTCATTGTTAGGTTATCCCAGATGGTTGCTAAGAAGTTGCAAGGCTTTTGTCGCTACATTGTTGCTATGCTGTTGCTATGGTAACCCAGTTGGTTGTTAAAGTGTCGCTAAGCCATTGCTATAGTTTTCCAAGTGGTTGCTAAGGTTTTTCTAGGCCATTGCTACTTTATCGCAGGTGGTTGATAAGGTGTTGCTAGGCTGTTGTTATATTATCCCAGGTGATTGCTATGGTGTTGCTAGGTCATTTCTTTGTTAACCCAGGTGGTTGCTAAGGTGTTGAGAGCCAATGCTATGTTATCCCAGGTGGTTGCCATGGTGCTGACAGGTCACTGCTGTGTTATCCCAGGTGGTTGCTAAGGTATTGCTAGGTCATTTCTTTGTTAACCCAGGTGGTTGCTAAGGTGTTTCTAGGCCATGTTACCCCAGGTGGTTGCTAATATGTTGCTAGGCCATCGTGATGGTATCCCAGGTGGTTGCTAAAGTGTTGCTAGGCCGATGCTATCATACTGTTAAGCTGTTTCTAGGCAATTGCTATGGTATGAAGTTGTCAAGTCAACTAAATTAAACATCATGGTAAAAAAAAAAAGTTTCTAAGTCTTTGGAAGACGCTTAAGTAAATGGATTTAATGATCAGCTGCTGTCTTAAAGCCCATTTTGAGGGGCTGGGTGTACCAGCTCCTTAACCTAGCTTTCCAGTTCCTAGCCTAGCTCAGTGCGGTTTATGAGTTAAACGTACTTTATCAAACAGCTGCACTGGAGCTCGACGCAATTTCAAGGAGACAGTATCACCTTCAGCAAATCAAATAAGCACACTCCGGCAAATCGAATAAGCAGTGAGGCATAATGAGACAGAATTTACTGCTGTCAGTCACCGCTGTCTCACATGTGCACGCTGAACTATATTGAGCCGTTTGCTCTTAGTTCCACTGTGAAATATGCCAGACGAACCTCCCGGAGTCAAGACTGTCAGAATCAAGGCTACTTTCGAGAAATAACTTGATTAGCTGCTGCAGAAATCACAGAGATACATCTCCACTGCGGTCCAAAGGTTTGGAATCACTTACCATGTAAACAATAATTCTATAATAATAACATATACAGTGTGGATTTAAATGTTATGTTTATGTGATATATTTTGCCCAAAGATATTTTTAAAAACCAGAATTTAAAGGTGAATTCGATTTTTGATTTGATGATTACTATTAATTTTATGCTGTACTAAGGGCAGACTGTTACCTCTGAATTGTTCATTTTAATACCACCAGTGTGCTTTGCAGTGTTAGATTTAATTTGATCATACAATCATTCTGTAAAATTCCCCTTAGAACAATAAGCTTTTCATTAAAGGGAAATTCCGTCAAAAATCTAAATTTCAAAAATATATTTTTTTTTTATCATTTTCAAAATTTCGACATAATTCAGTGGTAAACAAACTCATTAGTTGTGGTTTGATGTAAAATGGTTCAAGGTAGAGAGATTTCTTTCATTCAGAGTCAAAAGTCATTCGGAGTGGTTTGGTGTGAAATGATCCATTCTAGTGAAACTTACAGAGTCAGAATTGTTCACAGTGGTGGCGATAGGAACCAGGGGTCGCCATGACCACAACACAAATATAGACATTTTATTTACTATCCAAAACCACCAGTGAACCTACACGAGTCTTCTGAGCTTTATATGGAATGTTGATGATGGTAAAATAGATAATAACAGATAGATAATAAATCTGAAAAAAAAGAAATGGGAGGGGGGGGGCGTTATTTTTCCCTCACGACATCCTGCATGTACTCCTCTACCATGAATGGATTCAAAGAAATCATTATTTCATATAATAACTTTCTGTGAGGGAGCTTTTAGAGGTGGACGTCTGGTTCCTATCACCACCACTGTGAACAGTTCTGACTCAGTAAGTTTCCCTAGAACAGAGCGTTTCACACCAAACCACTCTGGATGAATTTGTCTACATTATGCATACATTTTGAAAAATGCTCTCTAATTGGCAATTCTAACTACATACTGCAGTGCAGAAGAGAAGGATAAAGACTTACAGGCTTCCTTAATCTTATATTCTTAAAAATAATGGTGCCAATAGAGGTTCTTTGGAGCAATGCCACGGTAGAACCACATACGGTTTCCTAATGAGCCTTTCAATGGATAGTCCTTCAAAGAGCCATTTGTAAACAAGACTTGTGAGTGTAAAGAACCTTTTTGAAGTTCCCATAATGTAAATGCTCCACATCAATTAAAGGTTTTCCCTAGAAAAGTGTGTCCAAGCCAAGAACCATTTAGAAAACATTGGAATTAAAGGGTCT